TTGCACTACTTTCTTGATTCAATCCATACTAAAATATATTAATAAGTTGAACGATTTGGTAAAATAGCGAAAATTTTGTGATTATTTTCTGAATAATAAGTGATAAATAACATTAAACCAAAAAATATCTGCCAATTGACTTCACGTTCCGCACTGACAAGCGCTATATCTTTCTGTTTTGAACACCATGGACAGTGATTCGTAAATTTTCGGACTGCAAGTGAAGCATTGAAACACTTTGCTCGAATTTCAATTATGAGTTTGTCAAGCTGTTCATCTGTGGCCAGTTCATCGTTTGCTTCAGATATTCGAAAACTGTCGACTTCCTGAAGAAGTAAGCAATCTATTGACTACTTTCATCTCTGTTGCATTGATTAATTGAAGCATAGCTATTATTCAATATATTCAATATAACATGCAGTTATATGCATCAGTTTTCGTGATTCTTGAATTTGAAAACAAGTCGATTAATCTGTTCATGTACACACTATACATCGATTCAGAAAATTATTGCGCAACGAAACAAAAAACTACAGATCAAATGTTTACTATTTTTACTTATGCATCATGCAAACAATAGCTTGATATTTGGATAGTTCAAATGTCGAAGAACCATTATTTCACGCGTGTTTCATATGAAGGTATGATTTTTTTTGAACGAAATTTATCTACTCAGTTCACGTTCTTCCTATTATTTTTTTCAGTTTTGAATATTTTCTGCGTGTAAAAGAGCACATATGAAGAAATAAAATACATAAAGATTAACAGAAGTGAACAAGAAAAATTGAGCGATCAAAAATTCATGCTAATGAAAGCTAAACAAATTATAATTAGTAGACACGATCTTCTAAAATATGATATATCAAGTGTTTAGCTCGTTAAAACTTTACAATGTTAGCATTTGTGCGCAAGCTTATTTATTCAGATTACATTGATTTATTTATATATATTACTTTTGATTATTCATGTTGGTTTCTGTCTTACTCTTATTCATCTTTACATATCAATTTCCTCAACTAACCCAACAATTTTTTATTTACTATGAAGTTTAAGAATTTATTAGTGAAAATTTCCCGAAATATTAGAAAAGTTTCGTTTTGCTAAGCGCAAACCTAGAATGAATTAGTTGTTTAGCTAATATACTAAATGATTTCTTAACTCTCACTTATAATCTTAAAATAGGGAAATTGTTTTTTCAATTATTTGTGCAATTTGTTCTTTCACATCACAATATTCTTTCGAAAAAGGGATGAAAAGGAGTAGAAAAAATACAAGTAATTGCTAGTAACATTAATTATTTGAGTTTAAATCTAATAATGATTATTACTATATTTTTTTAAAGTAATAAATAATGGTTATAACAATGATTTAATCTAAATAGCTCACTGAGTGCAAATATATGCTCTAATTTTTTATTCCTAATTTCACTTCAAATTTTATCAAGTTCATTATTAAGATTTCACAGATGCTTTAAAAAGCTAAAAGCTACTGAAATTATATTTTCTCGTATGATCAAACTTTTCAGCGGATACGAATTTTGATAATTTTTCTGAAATTTTTTTTGTCGATTTGTTAAAACTTGCAGATTTCATTAACGATTTATTGTAAAATAAATAATTCGAGCATTGAAGTTGCTAAAGTAAAATTATTTCAGCAGTTTTAAAGCTTGAAATGTACAAATATCAATGAGGAAAGAAAAATTTTCAGCTTTGCGTAATTTCTTTCAGCACAGTATTGACAAGAAAACGAAACTTGAGCAGTTGGAACATGTTCAAATAATTTAAGTGTCATAAAATGAACAAACCTCATTATTTTCCTCCTCACTGAAAATTTCAGTTGTTTGAGTTGTATCACATGTTCGTAGGAATCCATACAAGGGATCCATACCAATAACTTCGCAATGCATTGTAATTTCATGAGGTTTTCCATTCACCCAATGGGTGATAAACTTTCGGGAATGTTTCTAAAGCATAAATAATTTTTGGTATATATTTGATATAATTGTACATCTATTTTGGCCACTCAACACTTATAATTGATTAAATATGTTTTGTATATCAAATTCGCTACTGAGATTGGAATTTTTGACCTAGATATGCCGAATATTTAAGATAATACTGACTATCGTTTTATAATTTATTCCGAAATTCAAACAATTGATTAAGCTATATTTAATCAGTTATAAAAATATAAAAAGGATTCTAGCTAACCTCAACAAAATTTTCAGTAATACTCCAGCTAACAGAAATGATTTCATTGTTAACTTTGTTAAATTTTGAAATTCTGAAGCGTGGATGAGCACATCCACCAGTAGTTAAACATGATGGCTTCCAGTGGACAGTATGAAGTTCTACTTCAATCCAGAATTCTACATCATTATCTTGCAAAATTTCATGACCTTTCATGAGAAGCATCGGCTTAAGTTGTGTAACTGCTATCAGAACCAGACTAATTGGAAGTCGCATAACTTTCTTGAATTAAAATTCAAAAATCCTAAACATTTGACTAATTATTTTCAACTTTTCTCTGTTTAAATTGTTTATTTATTATTATATAATTAGCGCATAAAAATATTTATGTAAGATGAGACTCCATTTTTATAGCATTTTCGTCGCTATTCAAAATTCACGATTGAAACATTGATAGTTATTAGAAAAACTGTCTAACTTCAAGTTGCAATTGTTTATCACTGAATAAAAACTAAAATCTCGTAAACGATTTTCAAATTTCTCAATTGAAAAAAAATTTCTTAAAGTAATATTGTTAAACATATATTGTAAATGCTTTCTGCTTGGTAGGAATTATCAAAAAACACAACATCAATCTTTTATTGTAATTATTACATAAAATTATAACTCGTACTGTACTACCAGTAATGCTATTGTGACTCTTTCATTATGACATACAGTCGATAAAATATATATATAATTCTTTGAAGGGATGAACAAGTAACCACTGGCAAAGTTTATTTACTTGCTTAGTGATAATGAAAATGGAAATACTAGTAATATTCGGAACAAGCATTTTTTAATCATATATATACTACTATGTATATATGACTACAAACTGCTTTATTTTTTTCATAAAATACTTCTACCTAAATAGATAGAAAAAATAGCAAATTTAGATATTTTCGAAGAAAACTAAAAAAACGAAGAGTTTTTTTAAAATAATACAAATATTACATTACTGAAATGTGAATGTATATAAAGTGATTAATATCAAATCTGAAATTATAGAAAACTGCATCAAATGACTCGTTTGAACGCAAACAAAAGACAAAAGTAATCTTTTTTTTTGAAAAAATTGAAAAGCGAAAAAGTAGAAAAATAAATGTCTTCGCGAAAATGAGGCAAAAATTATCGCTCATTTGAGCCAAAATGCAAAATGTTTCGTACTGCAACTGATATTATCGCTTGTCAATCGCTTCTTTGAACATTCAAACAAACATTTTTCTCCTTAATTCTACCATTTGAGATGTTTATTTCTAACAAAAATTGAAAATAAATAATTAGTTCTGAAATGTTCTGTCAAAAATATAATAGAGAAAATAGATAAATTGAACTTATTAAATTTTATTCAACCAAATTTATTTCTATTATTAGTTTGTTATTATATATTCTTTTAATAATGAATTCAATTTGCCAATTTTTTATTATATAAAGTATGTGAAATAATCAGATAGATGATCGGTTGCATTTGGCTGAATTTATTTCACTTAAGAGCAATTAAAAAATCAAGCGTTTTTCCCATAAAGGTTGTTTTGATAATAAATAAAGTGAGTATATTCTTCTTTATTTGCATTATTTATGTCATTCTATAGAATTCAGACTTTTATTATTAAACTGACAAAATGGTTGAATTAAAAAAAAGCTAAAATTTTAACTTATTTATGATAAAATTAATTCATTTTCAAACACTGACTAATTTCTTCTACTAATGAAATGTAACAAGTAATACCTATTTATACAAATGATCCAAATTCAGGCGAGTGAGAGCAGTTTATTTAATCGCGTGTTTCATCAGTGTTCCCTAAGGTGCCATACGTTTGATTTTACTTTTCATTTTAACTTAGAATGACCTGAAATTAGGCGTTTAGATGGATTGCTTTCTGGCGCATATCCTCTTTGCCATGCAATTTGGCTGATTTTATCATTTGAAACTACTCAGTGAAAGTGAAATATCTTTATACCTTCTGAGTTACCAGCGTAGTCAGATGACTCATTTTATGACCAGTTAAACACTAATATCTCACTTTGACTTATAACTAGTTTCATTAAAATGTTGAAAATTTTTAGTAATTGATTTACATTTTATTTTTAAAGTATGAATTCAAGTTTTAGTTCACAAACTCAATATAATACAACTTGCAATACAATAAGATGTGATGATATAGCCAAGTTAACGGAATTTAAAACAAAACAAAACCCTATTTACAATGAAAATTACAAATTTTACAACCTCATGCTTATTTAAAACAAAATTTCTGAAACGTTTACTTTTGATGAAGTTGTAGTTGTACACAGTAATCAGTTACTAATCCATTTTTGCGCAGTAAAGTTAATGACGATCATAGTCAAAATATGTATTCATTATGTGATAGTTTTTGCATTTGTGCATTGCCCGACCATAATTATCTTGCATTACTCTAATAAGAACTATAACTTAGTAAAAAGGCAATTAGTCTCATATTTTGGCGTCGTTTAACAGTGGTGATAGTAAGAGAATGTATTTTCAGTGAAAAATTTTGCTCACAGTTAAAATTTATTTTAAAAAATACTACACTTTTTGTGCGTATAAATTAAGTAATGACTACTGAAGAAGTAGGATTAATATTAAAGTTGTCTAGAAGTTAAATTTTTGCATAACACTTATTCTGACGTAAGTATCTTCTAGTACAATATATGCAAATTATTCCTGATTGTTAGACATTTTAAAACTGATAATTATATAACAAAAGAGCAAAAAATCATTTATTGTTGAAATTATTGCAAAATTAGAACATGAATAATTACTGTATTCATCTTATGCTTTTCTAATTTATTAACTGTGATTACCAAAGAGAAAAAAGTTTTGTAAAATACTTGATCATTTCAAATAAAATCTAGGTGCTTTCTGACTTTTTACAGCTTCAGATGCTGTATGACAGAGAATTAAATCTTCTGAACTATTTAATTATGTCACAATACTGATGGCTTTGCATACAAATCAAATAAACTGCAAGCAAAAAACATTCCTAAATGCAATTAGTTTTCAAGGTATTATTTACTAAATTTGGTTGGAAAACTATACTATTTTGTTGAGCATAGATGTATTCCAAGCAGTCAGAGATAAATATTAAGGAACCAAATAAAATTGTAGAATTATTAAAATCAGCCAATTTATTTGATTTCTTAGAACCGAAACAGTCCAAGTACTTTTAATAATATTAGAATCAAGATAGAAGCTGCTCGAGGTTACTGCTTGAATAAGCAATGAGTGATGAATGCTCGACTTGCTTTCAGATTAAAATCATTTATACCTTGCGATTTAAGTAGCCTTTCTTAACTTGTAAGCATAATTGCCTTTCGGACAGGTGAAATGCACTAACCGTAAGTTATTTACTTATATTAATAATTTAGCTTTCTAAAGTGCCACACAAGCGATATATATAATTTACTTTAATCTTAAAATTTTCTAATTTTGCATTTCAATAATAAATTTTTAAAATGGCTCAGATTCATCAAAAAAAGGAAAATACAACTTTTTTTGAAAAGTTTCAAATAATTAAGAATGCAGTAAATTCATTGATACATTAAGAGTATTTTATTTCATTGTAATTCTAAAATAATCCATCACATTTCCAATTATATTGCTACTTTCCATTAACAAATCATTGTGCAATAATTTTATTTCAGTGCAATTTTTTAATGACATGTTTTTTCAGATTTATTAAATTAATTTTCAATATTATATATAACTGAATTTTTCAAGAAAATTATTCAAAAATTTACAATCATTCACAGTACTTTTCAAATTTGATATGTGTCAAAAGCCTTCAAAAAGTTACGATTCATGATCGTACAGATGTTCTCGAATTGCTTTCAATCGAAGCCAAACTCCGTCCATCGATGGCCTTTCATGCACGTCTGTACGCCAACAACGTTGCATTAAGTTCAATATATTTTTAGGTAAATTGGTGTTGCGTATTTCTACAATATTTTGATTATTATCAATTTATTACGTTCATAAATTTTTTAATAAAACCAGATTTTTTCAAGTTTTTTATTTTTTTTCTGCTTAAAATTTTCATGGAAAATTTTGAAATTTATGCACATTTAGCATTTTTTCACTTTTTGACAAGCTCATATGGGAATATAAAACTCAAATTAGAATTTAAAATAGTCTAGACATTAACAATAAATATATTTAAATTAACTTCATTATATGAAGAAACATAACAAATATCTGGTACTTTGAGTAAGAAATTAAAAATGTGAAGCTAAAATTAATTAATCAAGTTCTTGCATTCTTGTTAAAAGAATATGGATATAAATACAATAATTCAATTGCATTAAAAATATTAAAAAAAGAACTGCAAAAAATCAAATCAAGATTTAAAAGTTAAGTATCACAGAATTGATTAATCCACAACTAAGAATATCAGAATTATCTAATAAAGATTATTTTTATTATCTCGATTTATCTGATTTAACTGACCGGGTCGTATCCTATGGCTTCCACAAAGATAACTTCGAACTTCTTCAGCAGTCATTGAAAAGTAAGGTAAATTTCCAGTGAAAATTTCATATAATGTAATACCCCAAGCATAAACATCAGTTGCTTCATTTAAATGATTTGTTCGAAATACTTCTGGAGCTAGCCACCTAATATTAATTGGTCGTTGTGGATCAACTTCTTTAACTCTAAAAAAGAAAGCAAAAGAAAAATCTCAAAAGAGGACGAAGATTATTAGATCTTGCTTATATATTCTTCAGTTATCAATATTTTGAAATGAATAACTAAATTTACTAATGTATTTTATACACTTTCTCGACTTTATTTAGGATCAATTTTCAAAAATTGTGACTAGACTAACTTTCCTATGTGAGCATGTCGAAAATCTCCCAAATAATATTTATAATTTGTATGGAAAGGATGTTTTGTATTTTGAAACTGATTAGCTGCTAATTTTTGTACAAAAATATTCCGCGCTGCTATATCACAATGTAAAAATCCAAGAAAATGCATATCAGCCAAAGCTCGAGCAATTGTAAATGAAACCGGAAATGGGATTAATTCTTTGAATTTAACTCAATACAATCTGTAAAGCACATTTTGTATTAAAAATGTGAGTAACATCATTTTAAAGCTTACTTCTAATTTATCACCAAAAGTAAGCCGTGAACCCATTTGTTGAACAAATTCTGGGTATGATCCACAGTTCATATATGGATAAATTATTGAATATGGAAACTGATAAAGTTGTACTGATTTCACAGATAATACACAATCAACAGGAATAAATTCCCCTAATAAGTTTGAAATGTGTAATTCCTGAATCATTTTTTATTGACTTATTTGGTTAAAAGATTTTTTCGTTTCAAAATTGATTGCTTCTGAATGTGTTGAACAAATAATCTGAGACTTTTAAATGACTTAGTTTTTACTATTTGATTTTTTTTATTTATACTAAAAATCAAGAGTTTTTTCTCATTTCTTCACAATACTGATTCAGAATTTAAAAAAAAGTTTGAACCCGAAAAATGTTATCAAGTTCATTTGCATCATATTGATATAATACTCGTATCATAACTTGTTCAAGTTCTCCAAGTACGCTTAATTTACCAAAGTATAACTAAAAGTTTACAATAATCATTGAAATTATCAAATTTTCTGGAATGAAATTAGTTGAAAAATTTATTTTCTTATTGAAATTTAAATATTATATCTTTATTTTCTTATTGCTTCCTTCATTGCAATTTATTATTATCATTCCAATAGCTTTTTAATGTAACTTGTTTTTGATATCTTACAGAGCATTTCATTTCTTAAAAAAATACATTATTAGTATACTTAGAAACAATTCAAATACTATTAGCTCTAAGTAAAGGATAAAGCATTATTATTCTTATCAGAAGAAATGCTCAAACAAGAATAAATATTGCAAATTTTTATTACAAAAAAATCATTTTGAAAATAAGTATTTTTTTTGGCAAAAATTTTCGAGTATTTAATAACTAAAATGATTTGATAAAAAAAAAATTAAATATCAGAGGATGTGAAATATCATATTTGTCATTATTAATATATATATTTTTTCCAAAGATAAGAAAATTATTTTTCAAAATCAAAAGCATTAGTATGTGAATCTTTTCTGAGCACAATCATATGAATTCAATCAAAATTTAAAAAATTTTCATAAACAATCAGTGAGTTATTAATAATATCTTCTTGTGATTAATAGTAATTAAGTTTGAATTTGATCAAAAAATTAGGCAAAAAAAATTTATACTACATCAAAATGCTTTCCTTTAGAGATTAGTTTCTCTTTTGATATTCTATCATCTGGTGTCAAGAATAAATCACGCAAACTGTATTCATCTTTATTTTCTGTATTTGGATCAACAAGATGTCGCATTACAATACTTGTACTAAATACTGCTGATAGAACATTCATCTGTAAAGTACTGCAAAGTTTTATTGAAAGTAATGTGCGTATGATTTTAAAAAGGATAAAACTGAATCTTTATCCTTGCATTGCTTTATTCTTAATCGATGAGAAGGCTTACTGGACTTCGAAAACATTTTTGGATTAATCTGGCAACTGAAGATGCTTTTGGATAGATACAATTTTCAAAACTGTATCTTCCATCATTTATTACAATTTGTGAATGACAAATTTCACAGCTTTCAGACATTATTGAAAATCTGATAGCATCCTCATGTGTAAGTGAAATCAAGAAATCACCTAGAATGATTTTTTTGGTTTGTAACAAATATCAATTAAAATCTAATTGAAAAAAAAGATTTTATATGCACTACATTTTCAAATCTACTATGGTTAACTAAACTATCAATTATTAATTAAAATTTATATTGAATAATCTTAATGATTAATTTGTACTAAATTAAGTCTACACTGAAATTAATGAAGAAAATTTAAAAAAAGCTACTTAGATTAATATCATATGATTATTATAAGATGCAATGTTCATAAGAAATGAAAATATATTCAAAAGCAGCAGAAATTTTATTAGTATCATTTCTAACCGGGTTTTTTCAATAAGCGTTCTTTGATGAATAATTCAGATATTCGTCCAAAATAATTTTCTTCCTTCAGTTCTAAGTAATAATCATCATAGTCTTTTTCTTCATTCTATAATATTAAATTGATTAATTTTTTACACATATTATTCCCATATTTTCTAGAAATTTACATTGATTAGATCGTGAATTAAATGAAATTCATCTGAATTTATATAATTTTTTATTTAATAAAAAATTATATAAATTTTATTATTGAAAACTTTTGTGCTTTGGTTGGTTAGAAAACAAATTAAAACATCGCAGTTGCATTATTTAATATTTAAAAAAGTTACTGAAGACAGTGTTCTGAATTCTCAAATTAAATCAATGGTTATAAATTAAACGTTCAAGAATGAATGAAAAATGCAAAGATTAGAAAATGAAATCAATTAAAACTACTGGATTAGAATAGATCATTTTTTAAATTTCCGTATTAATTTTTTAATATTTTTCAAATAATATTAATAATTAATCAAATGATGAATGAAATTAAGATTAATCAGTCTCTCACAGCTATAGGATGCAATTCCAAGCCTATTTCATCGAGAACTGCTTTAAGATTTTCAATGGCATCATAAGGGATTTCACAGTTTTTTATGAACTCTTCATCTTCATGCCGAAACTTCAAAATCTGAATTCTAATATCCGTTATTAATAAATAGTCTTATTCACAAATAACTTGGGGTCATACAATTTTGAAGAAAATATTATAGATTCGATCATTTGTAAAATTATTATAGTTAAGTAATAAATTCATATTGCAGTCACATGAAATTAGTTTCACTCATTTTTTGAATAAATCAATTTTATTAACTTTGCTAATTTTTCTAAAGTAAATTATACGTTAAAGTATCTTGAAATATAAATGTTCCATATATTTCAGACCTAAACTTATGCAAGATTATACTTCTGCTTTTCATATTTTCAGTACTTCATACTTAACAGTGGAATATTCCTTTAACATTTCTTTCAAACTCATTACAAACTCTTCTGAGCTAATGATTTTCCGGAATATTCAGTCGCAATTAATTGAAAAAGTTTTAAAAGTTATAAGTTTCATTAACATTTGCATTTTAAAGTGTTCAAATAAGATGAAAGTTATGTAAAAAAACTATACACAATTACGCTACTATTTGAATGCAAACGAGACTGTACTACTTCTCTCATTTCAGAACTGCGTTTGAGTTAATATTAAAAGTAAGTGACCTTAAGCTAATGATTTTAAGCTTAAAAAATCTTAGCTTTTAATGATTTAAGACTCGGAGGAAAAGTTAAAATTTCTTACTCTTTCCATATCAAGTCAATATTTCGGTTGACACTAGTACAAATCAACCGATCAACGAGTGATTTGGGACAATAATAAAATAAATTAATTTGTTTTGTTTATTTAAAATTTTTTGAAATTTTACATACTTATTATTATCAAAGATTTGGATTAAGTATTTAGTGAGAGTAAATTTGAACAGATTTTATTTTGATTTTTGGTTGCAAAAATTTTTGGTTGTTTTGCGAAAATGTGCATGGTGTGCTTTTTTTTATTTCGCAGATTTCACTTCAGATTTTTATTATGATTGATCTTTTGCTTGCAATCAGAAGTTTGCTAATTTATTATGATTGATCTTTTGCTTGCAATCAGAAGTTTGCTAATCTAAGTTTTTGAGGACCATTTAAAAACACATGCATTCATTAAAATAAAACCAATATTTATTAATTATCAAAAATTTTTCCTAATTAAAAAAATTTGATGAAAGTAATGACGTGAAAGAGTTTTCATACTTATCGTCAGAACGTGTAAAAAATGTTAATCAGAAATAAAGAATCTATCGCAGTAATTCTTATAATTTAATAAATTTCAGGCTAGATTTTTATCTGGTACAACAGAAAGCTCTAATTCAGGTAACTGCTATAAAACGCGCCCGATATCCTGCTTTACGCCAATTGATCGTTCGTATCGTACAGTTATGAAAATGAATATATATACTATTATGATATTAGTTGTATTTAATAATATTCTAATCATTTTACTTATGTCAACTCGAATGAAGCTGAAGCGTTTGAGAGAACGAAATGTACAAATTATTTGATATGAAGCAGTTAATGATGTATAATGTTATGATTTTTTGATGGTTTTCCTTCAGAGTTGGTATTCTTCTGTATGACAACTAATTTTATGTAATGTTAAGTCACACAGAATCTTAAGATTGTTTTCAAGTTTCTTTCAAAAATGTGTAAATATTTTGTGCATTGTCATTAATCCATTCCTTTGAAACTTTAGCGAGTTTTGTTCAGTGTACAAAACTATTTTTTAACACATTCATCTGAAATAAAAGAAATAAATTTATAATTTTAGTTTGAAAACATAAAATTGAATTTAAAGCTGAATTTAAGTTCACTCTTTTAAAATAAAGACTAAGCATTCATCACACGAATAATGTTTGAATACAATATTTTTCATGCAGATGAAAGTAGTCGTTAAAAAACTCAAGTGATAAATTGTAATTAATTTTGTTTTGCAAACAATTGCAAGGAAACGTTTTCATGAAAAAGCAGTAATGGTAAGGGCAGAAAATGTTATTATACTTTCTAAATATATATTTTAAAAAAGACGTTTTTAGACTTAATAATTTATTCTCAAAATTTGAAAAAACAAAAAAGAGCTCTTTGAATTTTTAGGTTTCGTGAAAAAAAGCTTAGAAAATATTAATTTCATTCTCACATTCATTTTGATAAATTGCATTTTTTTGCTTTTTCTTTCGATTTTTAGCTCAAAAAGTAAAAGTATAAAACTTTTTTTGACAAAAATAACTGAGCTCAAAAAATAAATTTTGCTTCTATTTTTCAATTATAATTATTTTCATTTTGTTTTAATTAAAATTGTAATTGCAATATTTAAAGATTTTGTTTTGAGTTTATTATTTTTTAGCACAAATTTTTTTGCTTTTTTGGTAATACTGAAATTGTTTACTGATTTCAAAAATTATCATTCATTGGTGGTATATTCCGTAAATGGCAGTGATCATCTTATGAATGATAGCAGTTATTTACAAATCACTAATGAGAATATTTGAAAACATGCAAGCAAAAATAGGAATATTTATTAATAAAAAAATTATTCGTTAACAAACAGCCTTGATTAGAAGTGCATCATTTTTTGGCAGTATATAAAATTTACATTATTGGTATGATTATTAATTTCCAACTTGTATGACGAGATAAATTAATGCAAAACTATTAAACAACAAAATTGATGAAAATTAAAAAGAAATAAAATGATTTGATTTCTAATATAGCAAATGAAATAAACTTTTTGATATGAACTTACAATATTCAAAGCACTAACAATTTCAGTTTCATACCATTAGTAATACACATTTTCTCCATTGTCGAACTCTAATCTTATTTTTTTATTGCAAATAAGTAATTAAGCATTTTATAATTTTTGCATGATAACTTTTCATCCTAAAATATCGCTACAGCCTGACATCCGTATTGGCATAAAAATTTATTTAGATCACTTTTGCTGGCAGTAATCACCCGTATAGATTTAGAGATCTTTGCAGTATTTAAAATAGATCAAGTCGAAGTTACTATTTCAATGATAAAAGACACACGAAAAAAAAATAAAAGTTCTTTGGTAATAAGCTTTTACAATTCAATGCAGTACACTATTTTAGAGGCAGTATATATTCAGAGCAGTGATGCTAAAAGTAAAACAAAGTCGAAGCTTGTTGAAGGATTTTGAAGAAGTTATTAAACTGAATCAAATCTCGATACACAGGTAATAATCAAAGCAGCGATAATAGCAGTTATAGTGATAATAATTAGAGTGACAGTGATAATCATAGAAGAATATTTATACCACAAATATATGGCATATATAATCATTGGTAACTACAAAAAACATAAGGAAATGTGAATTCAGTTAAGATTAAATGAACAGAGCATATGATTTTTAATTAAGTCTTTTGTTAAAATAAATTTACAAGTTAGTTATTGCTTCAAGTACTACCCATTGACCTTTGGTTTGTATCTTTTGATAATTATTAAAAAAATTATATAAAGTATACTGAAATTAAAGTAATTAAGTTCCAAGCATAGCATATACAGTAATTTAAAAAGTAACGGCATATAATTTGTTTTTTTTTTTTTGAATATAAGGTTGAGGGAAAAAATTATTCAACAAAAACACATGCTCAAGTATGAAAGAATTATAAATATGAAACAACAAACTTTAATAGAAAATTTGAAGTATTTAGAATGATCCTATTGAATAAAAGAAAATATTAGCAGAAACAATTTAAATATTTAAAAATATGACTAAATAAATTTTATATTTCAATAGGCTCAGATTTAGGTCTTTGAAGAATTTGACGGGTAAAATTGTGGTACCTTCGACATCCAACCACAAACGCATATATCAAAGCAACGGTAATACAGAGTAACATGATTATCAGGATTGTAATTACAATACGATTGATACCATCAACAATGCTTTGAATCCGTCTTGTTGTGTCGTAATTGTCATGAATTATGCCCAAAAGACCGTTGATAAAAGCTTTTTGCTCTTCACGTGAATACGCGTCATAGCGCGACATAGTAGCGCGCGCTTCTGTGCGTGACAACAACCCCGTCGCGATCTTTAAAATAAATAAGTAATACATTTATAATTTTGTTTTACATTTGTAATCTTCAATAACCATTTTTTAGATTCCAAATATAATAAATAATTCATGTATAAAAATGAAAGAAGAAAAAATTTCTCTATTATAAATCTTCACAATATTTTTTGTTGTTAAAATAAATTTTTGTTATTGAATGTTATGCTTATATTCATAAATTAAACTAAAAATAAATTGAAAAATAAATATTGGTTTTTCAATTTTATTTTTCTGACATTTCACTAAATCACGTTCATCGACATTACTATCGCTGTCATCATCCAACTTATTTTCTTCTTCAAATTAAATTTTTTTGAATGATTAAATATGAATATGTTTCTCGTAAAATAAGTTTACATCGAATTTTAGCAACTAAAGAGCTAAACATTTTTCAACGTAATTTTTAGATGAAATAAGCATGTAGAAAATCATATATTCATTTTAGTGATAATATTGATAACAATAATTTATAATGCTCTCAAAAATGATAAAAAAAGCTATGAGGTCCACGAAATGACTTTGTAAGTCTGAATTCCATTAAGTTTTTTGAAGGAATAAATTTTTAAGCCATTCATTTTCTCGTCTGCAAATTTTCTTGCATATTTATTGCAGTTACTAAGCAAATATCAAACATTTTCTTGTAATTTGAAAAAATTATAAATAACTGATGAGTCTTCAATAATAAATAAACTAAAGAAAAGAAACTGTGGAGGTTAGTTTTCGTTTTTGCTTTAATGATTCTGGCGCTGGATCGCATTTCGGTGCTCTTGCTGTATTTGTCCCGCGCTCAGATTTGTTGTGCTCAACGTTTACGCTTCGTCCTCGTGAAATCCATAACAAGTATCAAAAGATATGCCTTCGAACATCATCTTGAGAATTATCGATTGAAGAATGTATGCCTCGACGTGGTCAGATATACTGATCTCCTTCGCGTAACATCTGTGAAAGTTTGTCAGTATCCTATCCCAAGCCTTCACATACAGAATTATTTTCGTTCTTCATTTCATCTCTGACCCAAGCTTATTAGCAAATAGGTCATATTTGCGTTTTTTCTCATTCTCGACTGCCAACCTCTATCAGTATTACTTCATGTCGTTGCATTTATTTCTTATCATGTATCATAATATCCAGTCAATCCGCTTTTATTCTGATTACAGTTCTCACTCCCGTATCACTCTGATCTCAATGTTCTCATTCACGACGACCTCCTGAACAGAATGGTTTCGCATGCGCGGGAATGCTTCTAGACCATATTTCTTGCAGAATCCCAAGTGGATGCATCGTAGGACTTCATCTGCCTTCTAGTACACTCATAAATAAGTAAAGCAATATTCGTATCTTAGTATCATTTCTGCACTCAGGGACCCTGCTATTATAATAATTATTTTAGAAAGAGCTAATGAATAATTCTTTTATTAAACTCTATGATGAAAATCATAGGCCAAACTTTTTAAACTCATTTTCGCAATCACTTCAAGCAATAAGATAAATATTAGTGTTATTAAAAGTTTCAGGTCATTTTATAGTTTATATGCTGCAAAATATTATGCGATAATTCAAATAAATATGTTTAATGCAGTGTAATAATATGAAAGTTTAATTGTTTGATTTGTGCTAGTTTGAATATAGTGTTATAACCTGCCATTTCTCAACTATTTTTCTTTCTATTTCACATCGTAAATAATAATTTTCAGTCAGGGCGAAAACTGAATTCCATTTCATTTCCAGTTTATAAAATATGAAATTTGGAGAAATAGTGTGAAAAATTATGCTTTTACTTATCAGCTTTTCAGCTGATAATGATAACTGATAACATAAAAGTATCTAGTATTAACTGCAGTGAAGTTTTCGATAGTATATAATATTTGTCAAAAATTGTTAGTGACATTGAGCAATAATACTAAATTGAATCAGTACGTTTTGAGTAATTCAGTACTTTTTAAAATTCTGAACTTTTTCAAGTAATTCAAAAATTTGCCTTGCTGGACATTTGTTTATCTTATCTTTCAACACTTTTTGATTGTATTTCTTGCCAGAAAATAAAATATAACAAAAACAATCAAATTAGAATCTTTTTTTTCAAAAAGAAAATGTAAGCTTATTTCTTACAAAATTTCAAAAGAAAATCGGCAGAAAGTTAAATTAAATTTTTGAAAACTTTCCTTCATTTTATTCAAATATTAAATTATTGTGTTTTCAATTTGAGCAAACATTTTTGTTTTATCAAAAATAAGAAGTCTGAAATCAAACAATTAATCAAAAGAAAAATATATAAATATAATAGATACTTGGAAGTATGTAACAATTTTCTTCAGTAAAGAAAATATTATATCCAATGCAAAATTGACTGCACAAAAAAAGATGCCAAACTTTCTAAGAGCACAACTAAACTTATTTTTAGACAATAGTTTAGTTATTATATTGAAATTATCAGAAAATGTTTATATCCAAAACTGATCCAACTATCAACGAAAAATATCAATTTTTATTAAACATTTAGTGCTTAACTTAAAATTACAAGTATTTTGATAATTTGATAAAATAGTATTAAAGTGTTTTCATACTTCTCAACTAATTTTCTATAATGAATTTTTTATCTCCAAATTTTATGTGAATTTAAACTGCTTTTTTTTTCGTTTCACTTTATTCATTTATTGTGATTTTTGTCAAATTAACTGATAACGATAGTATGATCCATATTAATGATAAAAAATAATGATAATTATGCTGAAGCAAGGATTTAAAAAGTTAAGCATAAAAGGTCACTAGCAACAATATTTTTTCAATATGCAATTTGCTTATTCTATCAAATGACGTATTTTTGAATAAATGCTAAAAGAGTAATTAAAAATAAAAATTTCCCTCTCTTTTTTTTGCATTCTATTTTTTCTTTCAATTCATAAAAAAAAGATAGAGTTAATACTTATATGCATATAAAACTTCTCACAAAGGTATACAAAGTAATGAGCAGAAATTTTTGCTTGAATAATTTAGTACTCTTATAACTAACTAAATACTCTAATGATGATAACAAGTTAGAAAGAGCTCAGTTAAGTTTTGACTACTCACAAAACTTATTTTAAACTGTTATTAACGTTTTATACGCAATGATTGACGCTTGCCATTGCAAAAAGTACTCTTTTTTAAAACTAAAAAATAGTACAAAAATTATATATTAAAAATATAACAAAAGTTATGCATTTAAAGTTACTAAATTTTAATGAATATTCTCGTAATCATTCATTTTTTTCAAATTTTTTACCCGAAAAAATTGAGTTACTTTAATGATAAAAGTTTTTTATTAGAGCAAAAAGTAAAAAATTGCAGCAATATTACAAATTTTAATCTTTGAAAAACAAAGTGATAATAACTTTAAAAATAACATTTATATTCAAAGCAAAAACCTTTGTGTCTTCTCATACTTACTTAGTCTAACTTGTCTTTGCATTTACTCTAAGACTTTGGATGCTTTTTTCATTTTAATAAAAAGGAAAGCATATATCCATCATATTTATTATTCTCAAAATTATGCAAGTATGTCATTGTGCACAAAATATAGTTACTTTATGATCACGTAATCACTTATGTCTTTGTTTTTTTATCCCTCAGATCTGAACTTCTACAAGCTCCAAAAAAATTCTTATTTTTTTCATAATTTATCATTATTGAAGGCTATATTAATCAGAATTTTTATATGAATTTAAAAAAAAGCTAGCTTCAATGAGACCATATCCATTGCATTTGAAAAATAAAGCTTGCTTTTTTTGAGTAGTATAAAAGTGTTAAGGATAGTCAATAAAATGGTTTGACAACTTGTAAAGCCTATTTTAATTCCAATATGTTAATTAAGTTCTTATAATGTACTCACGTGCTACACTGTAATGAAGTTGGTATTGTATAAAATTTTTTAAATGAACTTTTTTTGCCCCAAAAAAATAAAAATAAAGTTGATGAATAGCTTACCATCAAATCATCGTTAAAATCATCATAAAACATATTAGATTTCATATCTAAATTCTGATGATAAAAGGGTTGAAATTAATATTATGACTGAAAAAGCTGGCTACAAATCAAATGCAAAGCAGCAAATAATTTTTGCCAATATTTGTTGAAAATTGTGCATTTCTTAAAAATACAAATAAATAAAAGTAAACATAAGAAAACTTGAATTGAACTAAATTTTTTATTTAGATAAAGTTGTCAGCTTTAAATTGCTAAAATCTATAATTCAATTTTCTGTTGCCAAAAAATTTGCATAAATTTAGCAGCTGTAAATTATGGCAGCAGAAAAAAGTTAGCTTATAAAAAAAATCTTTCTAAATTTTAAAGGTCCATAGATAATTTTGACAGCAAAAACAAAATTATAAAATATATCAGAAAATATCACTACGTGTCTTTTACTTGGATTTTATGGCAAGGAAACACTGAAATCAAAACAAAACAAACTAAATTATGGACTAGTAATAATAATTTACAAATTTTTAAAGTAAAAAAAGTCTGTTATATAATTAAATTAACCTGAATACTAAATGCAAATTATTAAAAGCGCTTTTTTTTTTTAAATTTTGCTTTCAAATTTGACGATCTCAGTTTTTTTTAATGACTAAAATATATTTTTATTTATTTTAAAAGTACTTTTGCTATGACTTAGTTATCTGAGTAAATGTGAGGAATACTTAGCTTGTGATTTGTGCAACTAACTGCCAATATTCATCTTCTTACTAAGTCATTGATTGATTGATTTATTTTGATCAAGATGTACGAATGAACTGCATTATTTTCTTGCTATGCTATTGATTGATCGATTTAATACGATCAAAATGCAAAAATTAACTGGTATAATTGATGGATAAAATGTAAATTTTGACATTTGAAAACAATAGAAAAGATATTAAAAAATTAAGCTAATTTTAAGTTTTCATGATTATAAGCAGCAT